GGGGAGGCGGCGGCGGGAGCTGCCGCTGTGCGGGGCGAGCTCGGGGGAGAGCTTGCAAAACAGCGCTGGGGCGAAGGGGTGAAAAACAATGGTTTGGGGCGTTTTTAATATAATTTCTGGATTAAGGCTTGGGACGTTCCCCTGCTTCCCCTTCGTCCTCGCCAACACGGGGTTTAGTCCTGAGACTCGGCTTCCGTTTTTCCTGTATAGCTGCTGTCGGAGAGGCTTTGGGGAAAGTGGGTGCGATAGTCCTGGAAACATAAGTAAATCTTTCAGCAGTCCCGTAAGGCAGTGCTTAAAATGACAGCGGTTGGTAGTAATCCTTCAGGGCTGGTCAGAGGGGCCGCTTTGTGCTTAGCAGACTCGACCTAGGCAAAGCGCTTGGTGTGTTGGGATGTGTTGGTTTAAAAAAATACATATTTTAAAGAATCAACGAGATCAACGCACTTTGGGTTTCTGAAGCATGGGGATTCCTTAACGTGTCTCTGTTTCTGTTGGACATGCAGAAGCTTTGTAGGGCTCAGCGTGAAGGTGAGGCTGGGATTTCTGCACCGTTTATCAGCTGCTGGGAGTCCTGCAAGTCCTTTAGTACAACTATAACGCGTAAGGACTGAATGCAGATGGATTTCAGTGCTGGTGTAGCAAAATCTCCAGCGTCTGTCTTTTGCATGAAATCAAGAACAGAGCCTAGCGTTTGGCCAGCTTCAGAAAACCTTCGTTCTGTCTTCATTGTCTTAAGCTGTAACATAATAAGCTATATGATAGCTTCTTAAAATACTTCTTGTTTTGCATAGTTTCCCCGCAGCAATATCCTTGATAGCAACTGGAGGAGATACCAGCTGTTGATTTCTTTATTCCGTATGTTCTTGTCGTCTCTGGATGAGATCATGGCTAATCTCTAAGGGGTACAGTTGAAATATTCATATGCAGTGTCTTGAGAAGCGATGCGTTACCAATGTTAGTTCTGACTGACTGCTTTAAATGATAGTAGACCTTCATAATTTGGAAGGCACTGCGAGTCCATCTTGTATAATGTTTACTTAAAGGTAATGTGCTTCCTTGTTTACTTGGGGGGGGGTATAAGGCTAATCTGGAGGACATTCAAATATAAAATTTCTGAGGAAAAAAAGTGGACGTGCCCAAAAGTAATCTTTGTAACAGTTTCAGATGATCTAAATATTTTGAATTCTTGTTGAAACTTTCTTATTTTTCTTTCCCCCTCCCCGAGCATCCAAAAGTCAAGAATGGTTCTAGTGTGCAGTCATTAAAAAACAAAAAAAGGTTTTATTTCTAATTTCAGCAATTAATGCGAATAAGTGCTTGGCAGAGACTTGGAGGATCATTCGGTCTTAGTTTGACCACCTTGTTGGTCATCTGCTTCTCCTTTCCTGTGAGACTGCGAAGTAGCTATAACTAGGTTTCAGTTAGTTATATACATCTCTGTGGATTGAACTAGGGCTGCTTGCTCTCTGAACAAACACAAAGTTGGTTTAGCTTTGTGTGAATCGCTGTTTTATAGCTCAGAATTGCACCATGTCTTTGCTTGACTTGGATGGGTAAGCAAAAAGTCACTCAATGTTCCTACTGCTAGGCAGCAGCATTGAGGTCAAACTCTCTTCTAGACTTTGTTATAAATGTTACATTTAGAACTTCAGGCCCCCAGAATGTCTTGAATGTATTCTTACTCAATTTTTGAGATTAAACTGTTGAAGTGAGAATGACTGTTCTATCTAGTTGAAGTGGATGCACCTGTAAAGAACCTAGTGTAATTTCTCAAAAAAAAAAAAAAGTTGCACTGAATTAGTGAAGTGTTGTCTGCTTCAGTACATCAAAGCAGGTTAGCGCCTAATTCTTAGGAGAAAATGTGAGCTTTTTTGCTAATCTTTTTGAGGTCCCCATAGGGCTGCTAACATGTTCTGCAGTTTCTTGTAAAAAATACTTGTGCACCGTCAAAGAATGATCTCTCCTTAATCTTTTTGAGGTCCCCATAGGGCTGTTAACATGTTTTGCAGTTTCTTGTAAAAAAATACTTGTGCACTGTCAAAGAATGATCTCTCCTAAGGAGTTTCTTGTGTTTGGTGCTGGTCAAAAGTTCGTGCCTAGGGAATGCTGTTGTAAGTTGAGGACGAACATCTAATGCTCATAATGGATTGATGCTTGGAGCAGAACTAGGGGTAAGCTTCTAACATCCACTCCGTCTGATGGCAGAGTTGTGTAGATTACATGAAGAACTGCTGCCTCTTGAACCTGCTAGTGCTCTCTTCATTTGCTAAGAGAACTGGGGTGTAGGAAGAGGCAGCAAATAAAAGTCCCTGTTCCCCTTTGCCAACCAGGGGGATGCTTTAGGCTTTATACTGTATCCCCTGTTGTTGTTTCTTTTCACTCTGCTTTGCTCTGTTATTCCTCTTACTTCTGATCATCCTTGATACTGCAGTTTATGCAGTAAGTTGTAATGGGTATAAAGTGATATGTATTTTTTTTAATGGCATATCTCAAATCCTAAGCCAGATGGGATAAGTTTGTTAAAAATATTTTTTGAAGTGTCATTTAAAAATGATTAATTTCTTTAAATTGAAGTCAATGATTGGGAACTTTGCAGTGACAGAAACCAAAGTTGTATTTGCAACAGTGATGTTTTAAATATTTGTTAGTATTTTAGTGTAGTAATCATAATGGTAATTATGCTGTGTACTTTTTTAATAAACATTATATTTTGTAAGAGCTGTCACTGCTTGTTAATGACCTGATTTCAGTTATTTGCGAGATGAACAACTGCCTTTTTTCATTGCTGTTTCTTGGGTCTCTAATGCATAATGGCGTTGTAACTTCATGGGAGCACAAATGTTTTTTCCCAACATCTAGTGTACAGCTGCAAATAAATACCACATTTAAAATGGAGTGTCCACTGTGTAGTAACTTGTCTAATTCTTTTATTCCAGAGTTTTCTTGGAGGCTTTTTCGCTCCTCCTTGTGAGATTGATGTTATTCTTAATGATGCTGAAACACGAAAAACAGCAGAAATCAAAACAGAAGATGGTAAAGTAGAAAAGCATTTTCTCTTCTATGATGGAGAATCTGTTTCAGGAAAGGTAAATTATTTTTATTTTTTTAAGTGACTTAATTACTGTAATGATTCTAGTATGCAAAAGCGTATAGGAAACTAAATGAAAAACTGATATAAGCAAGAGCTGCAATTTCAGCTTGTGATGTTATTCAAAGAGGAAACAGTGTTTTCCTATGTATTTGTCTTTTTTACCATAGTCATTCAGGCAACTAATAAAACTGAATGTTTTGAATAGTAGCTGTGTATTTGTTTCTGGTCATCTTGTATTCATGAATAAGGTTTTTGTGCAACTGGGTGGAATGCTATCATTGCTTCTGACAACAAGAAAACTATTCCAAACTGGATCCCCCTGCTTCCCCTTGCCTTTGAACTCCAAAATCCACAACCCAACACATGTAACAGTAATTTTTGGCTGGTGCAGCCAACCTGCTTTGCATACCCTGAAGATAAGCCTTGCATTTCATGCCCTGAAGTGGTTTCTGGAATTGCATCAGAGGAGCAACATATTAAGTTCAGCTGGCTGCTGAGTCAAGAGTTGTTCTTGTTTGGGGAGGGGAGGAGGGAGGTTGAGATTGCCAGAGGGATTTCTCTACTTTTAGTCCTGCACCTAAGAACTCCTTGCCATCACTCTAGTTTTACTGGAGCCATTTTCACTCTCTGAATATTTCCGTTACGATCCACTTTTTCTCCTTGAGCTAGGTATCGGGTTCTGAGATTGATTTCTAAATACCTGCTTCGATCTTGACTGACCCATTAT